GACACAGTGGCCACAAGGTCCATGAAGGCAGGGACTAGGTCATTTCTCTCTTGATTTTCTAGCTCCTGGCTCCTAGCATAATGTCCAATACAGACAATTAAGGTCTGTGAAGGAATAAATTAGGGAAAGAATGGGCACATATGGTGTGGTAAACAGAAACTACAGCTTCTCAAAAGATACCCATGTGCTAATCACTGAGACCTATAAATGACCTTATTGGGAAAGATTCTTGCAGATGTCATGAAGTTAAAGCTCTGGAGATGTGGAGAGTCTCCTGGGTTAGCTGGATGGGTTCTAAGTGCAATCACAGTATCCTCTTAAGAGGGAGGCAGAAGCAGACTTAACACAAACAGAAGAGAAGGCGATGTGGCCACAGGAGGAAGAGATCGGAGGGATGCGGCCACAAGCCAAGAATGCCAGCAGCCACTGGAATCTGGAAGAGGTAAGGAGGTAACCTTTCCTGGAGCCTCTTTGATCTTGGGCTTCTGGCCTCCAGAGCTATTCGGGAATGCATTTCTGTTGTAAGTTTCCAAGTTGGTGGTAGTTATAGCAGCCACAGGAAACTAGTATATCATGGGGAGGTTATTATAGATGGTTAAGAGCCAGGCTTTGGAATCCAAAACAGCGGTGCCAGGCACCATTTAGCCCTGTGAGTCTAGACGAGTTAACTTCTCTGAGCCTCAGTGTGCATATCTGTAAAGTGGGGATAGCAGTTCCTACCTACAGAGGGCCTCACGTGAGACAGTGAATGTAACGTGGCTGGCACAGTGCCTGGCATGTACCTGGCCCGTGTGATTATGATATGTGTTGGCATGGAGAGGTTGGGAACTAATATGAACGGGGAAGCATTTCTGATTTTCATCTCTAGGCCTTGAATTCATCGTTCATGTTATGTGGAAATGGGGCAGGATTCAGTTTCTTCCTGCTCACAACCTGCAGGTTTGTTTTTTTTTTTAAACTATGAATATTATCGCTTTGGAGGGGAACAACGGGGTGTGAACACATGGGCTTTATTCACCTGTCTTCTAATACCTGGGTCTAATACCTTCTTCTAATACCTGTCTTCTAATGCCTGGGTCCCCAGAACCAGAAGCAGTAGCCCTGCGGGGGTGGGGTGGTGGTGGTTGGTGCTGAGGATCCTGGCAGGACTTTGGTGAATCTGGGGTGAGCAGGGCATCTCAAGACCTGTCCGTCCTTCCTTGTCCGGAGGGGTGTCCCAGCTGGGGTGTCACTCACTCTGGGTGCCTACCCAGAAGCTATTCTGACACTCAGAAGCGAGTGGGTCCGTTGGGTTGCTAACATTCCTTCCAGGATTCTAGGAAGAATGACGAAACTGCACTTATTCTACCCAACTAGTTTCCACATCTGCCTCAGAAACGGATCCTAGAAGTGGCTCACGGTTTAGGAAGTGGCCTCCTGTCTTGGGCTCACCTACCAGAAGTCCTTTAATCTCACCTGATGGAAGTGCCCTCAGATCAGTACCTGCCCAGCCTTCTCCAAGGGCCCTTCTGCTGAAAAGAAATGCCAGAGTCCTCAGTTATAGTCTGTATGGAATGGAGGGGAGATTGGGGAGATTAGGTGGAGTATCGGCCATTTGTTACTTGAAAGGTAATGGCCCCACCCTGACTGATATAGGAGGAGGGATCCTGGTTTCCACAGAAGGCCTGACATTCAGAAAGCAGAAGACTGTCAAGATGGGAGACACCTTTCTTCCAACCCCCGCTCCTCCAAGGTCACAAAGCCTTTTGGTGGCAGAATTAGGACCGTGGCCTAAGAAGCCTCCTAACTCCCATCATGTTTCTTTCTGCACGGAAGCTTTGGGGTAGAAGGTCCTGGAGTAGAATCTCTGGACTAAAGCTCCAACTACCAATTCTGCCATCTCCACCTAAAAAGCTTAAAAGCAAAAGAAAACAAAAATCCTGGCATCTAGTCCTGCTGGGAGGGAACAGGGGCTGGGGGCTGGGGTGGGGGCTGGACAAGCCAGGGTCATTGAGATTTAGGCATGCAGAGGGCTTCCCAGGTGGCTCAGTGGTAGAGTCCGCCTGCCATTGTAGGGGACACGAGACACAGGTGTGATCCCTGGGTCAGAGAGATGTCTTAGCAGAGGAAATGGCAACCCACTCCAGTATTCTTGCTGGGATAATCCAACGGACAGAGGAGCCCGGCCGGCTACAGTCCATGGGGTTGCAAAGAGTTGGAGTGAAGAAGCCAAGGTCTTCTTCCTGGGACTCCCTCCAACAAAGATGATGCACTAGGTGTATGGCTTGGTCACCTTGGGGGTGAAGCCCTCCCAGGCTTCTTGGAACAAGCTGAGGTGCAGTGTTTAGAAGGGACCCCGGCAGGGCCCCAGCCTAAGGAAGCAAAGTCACAGAAAGAGAGGGCTCCGGGATTCCGCCTAGCCGCCTCCCCCAGGACAGACCCAGTTCTCCGGCGCCCCCTGCTGTTCCAGGGAGGTTTTAAAATTTAAGAACACTCAAGCAGCATTTCTTTCCTAGACGCCTTCTCGACAAATAGGTATTGAGCATCTACTGTATTGTCAAGCTCTGTTCTAGGCTCTGGGGCTACATCAGTGAACAAAATGGAAAACTTCTCGGACTTCACAGAGCTCATTTCCTTGTGGGTTCTGGGGATTTCCTAGGAAATACTAGGCCTCTTCTAAGGGCTATCCTGGATGTAAATGGTAGTGAAAAAATTTTTTCTGGCACATAATGTCTAGACAGGAGTTATTAACTAATGCCGCCGGGATATGAAGACTCCATAAGAACCAGAGGGGCGAGGCACCAGGGACATAATTGTCACACAGATTCCTGGCCCCCCAGAGGCATGGGGGTGAGATTAATAACGAGCAGCCGACAACCCTCAGTGCACAGCCCCCCAGGACAGATGTAAGTTCCTGAGGGAGCAGGGATAATGGCCCAACAAAGTCTTGCTGGAGATGCCTTTTGAGTGGGAGTAGGTTCTCTTGGAAGACGAGTTAGGCTTCCCTGGGGGGAACTGGTGTCTGCATAGCACCCACTGCCCCAAGAGTATTGTGAGATTCAGGGGGACAAAACATCCCATTCTCAGGATTTGTGTTGAGGAGAAGCTGAACGAATCTGAACTATCATGAGAGAAGCCACTGTGACTGGGAATGCATGCACAGAGGCCAAAAAAGACAGCGATGGGCCTTCAAGGTGCCCTGGGCTTCCCAGGTGTCTCGGCGGTAAAGCATCTCTGCCTGCCGATGTAGGAGACACATGTTCCATCCCTGGGTGAAGGAAATGACAACCCACTCCAGTCTTCTTGCTCAGAAAATTCCATAGACAGAGGAGCTTGAGGGGCTACAGTCCATGAGGTCACAAAGAACAGACACAACTGATCGCGCGTGCATGCACACACACACACAATACATCTCTAGAAGGGTTGTGAGGTTCTCGCTGTGGGTTGAAAATCTCCTCTGTACCTCCCTGTAAAGCCATCAGTAAAGTTTAGAGCAAATGGATGCTTCAGTGGGTAGATGGTGCCAGGCTATGTGTCAGAGTGGGTTCAGGTTGAAAACAAGAGCAGAAGGAGGGGCCTGGCAATATCTAGGTTACACGTCTAACAGTCCATCATCTCAGTGCTTGTTCTCCCAGCTGAGGAGCTGGGAACGGCTAGAGCTAGACTGGGCTGGCACAGGAGATGGGCCTGAAAAGACAGGTAGGGGTCAAATAGTGGCCATATGAATCCTGGCAAGGACCTAGGACATTGTGTGTTGGTGGTGAGGAGGAGGACTTTAAGTATGGCCTGGCTGCACCTGTGATGGGGTAGAGTGTGGTACACTGGGGCCACTGGGTCAGGCTAGGGGACTCTTGTAAACAGGCCAACAAGCTGGACCCCTGAACAGTCAGGGAGGTGATGAGGATGGTGAAGGGATTTCAGAAAGCACAATCAGTACAGTGTGATGACCATCCAATGTGGTGGGGGTGGGTGGGGAGTGGGGAGGAACTGAGGATAATTCCCAGGTTTCTAATTCAGGTGCATTGTTGGGGGTGGTGGTACCATGGGCCAGTGCTGTCAGAGCAGTGGGCGTCGGGGGGAGGACAGGGACGGGGAGCAAGCACCTGAGGGAGGTAACAGCACTGTGGTCAGTGCACAACCTTCACGACGTGATGCACACAACTATGCAAAGTTATAGGCTCCTTAATAGCCCAAGGTCCAGGGCCATTTCTAATCAGCCTTGTTAACTGTGAAAGATGGTGAGCTGCGAGCAGAAATAATAAAGTCACAGTGAAGGGGTGGGGGCCGGCATGCTCTCTTGAAGTCCATGAAGTCGGCAGGTGCGTCCCTGAACTGCTCTGATTCAGGTAGGCCAATATGCCCCTTGGAGGAAAAAACAAAGGCAGCTCCCTGGAATCTAAATTAGGTAAAAAGCTACCTTTTTGATACAAGGAAAAACACTAAGGTAAAAAGCATTGAAAGGATGGCAGTTGTTAATTTAATACCTCAATAAATTACACTATTACAAATACCTTTTCAGTAGAACTGAAAGTCAGCATTATCTACACCTCTTAAAAACAACTTGACTTTTTAAAGTAATAATACTCAATGTAAAAGGCAGTAAAATACAGAGAAATAAACAAAAACTAACCACAGTTATTTCATCTTTTTCTTATTTATAACAGTAGTTTCCTATGTGTAAAATACATTGATATTTTACATGATTGTGGATTTACCCTCATATACATTCTTTAAACTCTTGATTCTATTGAAAGTTTCTTCCCAAATTTAAATATTATTCTTTAAATCCATTTTTAAACGGTGCATAAGGAAGCCCTGTCAGTTTCCAGAAAGTGCTGGATGAATGTAGATGATTTAGCCAAAAAATCATCCCTGTGCTGCCTCCAGGTGTTTTGGTATTATAAACAGCACCTTGATGAAAGTCTTAGTTCTCCAATCACGTATTACCTAGACTAGACCCCTACATATGATATTACTGGGGCAAATGGCGTGGAAATGTTTAAAGCTAATGACACAGAAAGATGAGATCAAGTGCAGGAGTGAGTCCATCACACCACACTCTGAACCAGCGCTGTACTAAAGATGTATGTACTAAATACACCTTTGCTAATTTGATAGATGAAGATGGTATTTCCCCGTTTCAAGTTTGCAGTTTTTGTTTACTCCTGAGTGTGATGATCTTTCCCATCATACAGCAATTAGCTATTGGTACAGCATTTCATTTCTGTGGGCTGGCTGTTCATGTCGTTTTGTCCTTTGCCCATTCCGTGTCGCCCCCGGGCAATACCCTCCAGCTTGGGTCTTTTCTTAACATTGGTTTTTAGGAATGCTTTGTTTTGATGTGGACCATTTTAATGTTTTTACTGGGTTTTGTTACAATACTGCTTCTGTTTTATGCTTCGGTTTTTTGATCACTGAGGCATGTGGGATCTTAATGCCCCCAGGAATCGAACCTGCACCCTGTGCAATGGAAGTCTTAACCACTGAACCACCAGGGAAGTCCCTGAACTCTTTATAATGAAAATAATTCCCCTGTTTTCTTGGCCTTTAAATTTGGGGGTTGTTTTTGAGAAGGGAGACAAGAGGATATTTCATGGGTTAGGTAGTAACAGCGTAATCTTAAGGATTTTTTCCATTGCTTCAAGGTGTACAAAATCCTCCCCTTTTGTGGGAAACAGGTTTCCCAGGTGGCGCTAGTGGTAAAGAACCTGCCTGCCAATGCAGGAGACTTAAGAGATGTGGGTTCGATCCCTGGGTCAGGAAGATTCCCTGGAGAATGGCACAGCAACCCATTCCAGTACCCTTGCCTAGAGAATCCCATGATCAGAGGAGCCTGGCGGGCTACCGTCCACAGGGTCGCAAGGAGTCAGACAGGGCTGAAGAGACTTAGCATGCACGTGTATTGTGGGAGTCAGTGTTCTTGTCAACATTTCCAGCTCTTCTCCTCCTGGATGGAAGAGGACAGTTCTTCCTGACCCTTGAGATTTGTGGAGCTGTGTGATAAGTTCCGGCAGTGACTGTGAGCAGAAGTGACTGCACGTCTGGCCTCAGGTCTTTAATTGCTGATGTGAGATGCTCCAGATGCTAGGCTGTCCAATCCGGTAGCCACTAGCCGCCAGATCTATTTAAATTACAATTTAAAAGCCAGTTCCACAGTCTCAGTGTTCGCATTTCAAGGGTCTGACAACCCCTGCTGCTGTGGTGTGGATATGGAGCATCTCCATCACTCCAGGGTCACTGGGTGGTGCTTGTCTGAGCCCTCCTTCCCCCTGTCATTTATTTGCTACGGTGGCTGATCAGTCTCTGGGGCTCAAGAAACTGCGGTGAGCAGAGTCCCCCTGCTGACCAGTGGTGGACATGCAGAGAGGTGAGGAAGCTTGAGTCAATGAAATTTGGGGGTTACTGGTGCTTTTTTTTTTTTTAACACCATAACATAATCTGGATCTTTCTGTCTGTTCCATTCTATTTACCTAGTTTAATTACCATCATCACTGTTTTAAATATTTCAAAATATTTTATTATCTAGTAAGGAAAGTTTCTATGCATGCTTTTCTTTCTTAGCTGTGCTTTCTTGTCTATTTTATAAAGTAAACCCTAGGGTCATTTTGTTTGGGTCCACACTTTCTTCTTGTAGGGACCTTGATTGGAATTACGTGGGATCAGTAATTAGCCTGGGAACAACTGGTGGTGGCATAGTCACTAAGTTGTGTCCGACTCTTGGCGACGCAAGAGTGTAGCCCGCCAGGCTCCTCTGTCCGTGGGATTCTCCAGGCAAGAGTACTGGAGTGGGTTGCCATTTCCTTCTCCAGGGGATCTTCCCAACCCAGGGATCGAACCCAGGTCTCCTGCACTGCAGGCAGATTCTTTACCGACTGAGCTACAAGGGAAGCGCAAGGGAACACCTGGCGCTCTGATACCCGTCCTTCCCATCCAGGTCCGTGGTCTGTCTCTCCCTTAACTCCTCTCCTTACAGCCGGGGTCGGGCAGACTGAATCAGCGCCAGCACGACTGAAATAAAGACAACACAGTCACTTTACATAAAGCACAATCAAGTCCTTTTAAAGAACTGTATTTTTCATCTTGAGTCCCTCTTTCCCTATTCTGCTGAGGGTTGAAATGCCCTATTATAAAAAGACTGTTCCTGCAATTGTTTGTTTTCTAAGTGCATAAATTAATAAAACACATCTTCAGAATTTTACTAGTGTGTGAAATTTCAATGTCTGGATTCGCTTTCAACAGGTCTTTATACAAATACATAGGACATCTCCATTTTGGAAGGGATTTGTGCATGGGGGTGGCACTTGTGCATGAGGTCTTTCTTCCCATCCTATTTGCATAGTTCCCTGATAACATAAAGCCTTAGGTGCTACAGAACAACCCTGGCTCCTTGAACAAGGCATAGTCCTTGTACTTGGAAGGCCCAGAGTCTAACCAGGGAGTTAGGAACAGTTGATGACCACAACACTGTAAGGAGAAGCAGTTACAGGACCAAGAGAAGGGTGATGGGGGCTCAAAGAGCTTTTCCCAGAGGTGCTGATGCTGGAGTTCCTTGAAAACAAGGGGCCCAATACATGTCAGCTGGATGAATGAATGCTGTAAACTCAAAAAGACTCAGCATTTTAATGGAAACTAATTTTTTTGTCTCCTGTAGAAGCCTAGATATGAGTATATGGTGAGTGGCCGTATTGTTTTTGCTTAAGGCATAAATACCTAATCCTTTCTGCCTTCCATCCGTGAATTATCAAGTTGGGGAGGCAGTATCTCTCACCATCAGTTTCTCATCCTACTTTGACTTTGGCCAGGCTCAAAAATAGAAAGTACCTTTATTTTTGCTCTCAGGGCTACAGCAGGTCTTCATGGGAGCTTTTAATTTTTTATTTGGTTGCACCAGGTCTTAGCTGTGGCACAAGGGATCCTTTTTTTTTTTTTAGTTGTGGCATGAGAACTCTTAGTTGCGGCCTGTGGGATTCTAGTTCCCCTACCAGGATTGAACCCGGGCCTCCTGCATTGGAAGCACAGAAGCTTAGCTGTGGGATCACCAGGGAAGTCCCCTCATGGAGTTATTAAATATGCAAAATCAGGGTGCATTTCCCAAAGTGGGATGAAAAGAAAGGAGGAAAATAGAAACAGAATGAGCCAGTCTCCTTTCTGGGGCACTGCCTTCTGCCTGGACGCGTCTCTGCTGCATGGGCTCTCTGGGCAAGGCCGTCCCCCAGCCTCACTGACACCCTATACAGAATTGAAGAATTCACAATCCCATTTTCAACTGCTCAGTGCACATATCCATTTGGATACACTTCTTGGTCATTCTTCAGGGCCCAACCCCTCGGTCCACACCTTGCCCACTGTGCTCACTGGCTCTGTGGCTGTTGCCCTCACTAAACTGTGATCTCATACAGGGCACAGACCAAGCTTTCTTCTTCTTTTCTTGGCACCTGCAATACCTGGCAAAGGGCTTGGTACGATCATAATCAACTGAAAATGTTTCTTTCAACAAAAGAATAAATCAGCTGAGGCTACCTTTGTTGACGTTTTCTTCCTTGAAACATATTGTTGGGCAACGCTTTCTAAACGTTTGACCAGGAAAGGGCCCTACTAAGATTTCAATGTGACTTTTCTATTTTATATGGAGGAAGTGGTCCCCTTGGGGGAAGTTCTTAATTACGTTAACTCCACAGGCTTGTCTTTATCACGACAGCTTGACTCACGGCATAAACACGTGCTAAAGACCTAGAAAAATTTTGCAGTACAATCTTTTGGGGATAATATAAAAAGAATAAAGGTAATTTGACCCAATTTAAATAAAATGTATGATGCTTCTTTGGAAACTTGAGACATACATGTATACATATATGTGGTGTATGGAACATGTACATGCTTTTCTGGTGGCTCAGTAGGTAAAGAATCCACCTGCCAATGCAGGAGATGTGGGTTCAATCCCTGGCCAGAAAGATCCCTTGGAGAAGGAAATGGAAATCCACTCCAGTATTCTTACCTGGGAAATCCCATGGACAGAGGTGCCTGGTGGGCTACAGTCCATGGGGTTGCCAAGGAGTCATCAGACATGATTTAGTGACTAAACAACAAACAACAGTATGTACATACTACAAGGCATAAGTGAATTTTTAGAAGGTACTTAAAAGTCAAATCTATTAAAATTACAATTTCACATTATTAAATATCCCCTTCATGATTTAGCTAGTACTTTTTAAAAGAACAAAATGTGAGACACAAACCTACAGGGTCTACATTGCTGCAGTGAGGCTTAGTATTTTTAGAACCATAATCAACACTGTAAGAGGGCTTCTTGTAAGCTGGCAGCTAAAAGGGTCTTACGTGGAACTTACTTCAGTAAGAAGGCCGAGTCTCTAATGAAGACAGGCCTGGCAGGTTACTTGGGGCAACCGCCCCTTAAAGAGTTGGGATGCTGCAGTGCCGGAAGCTGTTCTGACAGGCAGTGTGCAAGCCAAGTTTCACTGGTAGAAATCAAGGGAGAACTAGGGGTGAGGGTAAGTGTCATAGATGGGGCATGGGGGTGGGCTGGGTCACTTTCTGGAAAAAGGAACACTGTGAAGCTACCTCTTTGTTACAGGTTAAACTTTTCACTGTTCTTCTAGTACCTTTCTGCCCTTCCCAAACCCCCTTGGCAATCAACTTTTCTGGCCAGACAGTTCAAAATTGGCAGACAAGCCTGAGACTGTCCCAGAAAACTGTGCAGACAAAAAGTGAGCATGGGCCCTATGAATGACAGATGATACTGTCAATGTTCTCGAGCAGCTTACTGTCCAGCGATGGAGAGGTGTGGTCCAGATGGTCACTACCCAAAGGCATCCCTACTTTTGACTGTGATGCTTTAGTCTGGAGGGAATAGAAAGTTATTTGCTGTACAGCTGACCCTTGAACAAGGCAGTGTATAATTTATAGTTGGTCCCCTCTGCATCTGCTGTCCTTTATCCCTGAATTCAACCAACCATGGACCATGAAGCACTGTAGTATTTACTATCGAAAAACATCTGCATGCAAGTGGACCCTTGAAGTTCAAACTCTGTTGTTCAAGGGTCAACTGTACTTGAATTTTCTGGTCTCTACTCCAGTGGTCTTTAAGCTTCAGTGGCCAGAGAACTTACCTGAAGCTTTGAGAGTGCGTACGCCTGTGGGTCCCGCTTCCCCCGGCCCACACACAATCTCTGTCTTTCCCTTCCTCCCTCCCAGGACATCCCTGGAGACTGCATATACTCTGCCTTGAAGGTTTGGGCCGAGTGCTAGCAAGTGCTCCAGATGAGGTTCCTCTGCTTCCCAAATGTCTTCCCATAAACAGAAAAGT